TCGTGTGTGCGTACTGCTGAGGAGTCCCATACTAGGACGAAACAGCTGTCAAATGCTCCCGGATTTTCAATGGTTCCCCAACTGATGTCAGTCCATGATGAAAATATTTTCTTAAAAGTTACGATTGTTATGAAGATCAAATGAAATAATATCGGAAACAAATAAGTACAAAAAACGGAGTGATAATGATGATATAAGAGTACAAAGATTAATCTGGCAAAGAAGAGGGGAAGAGGGTAAAAAACGAAAAAAGGAAGAAGCTCACCAAGACTAAAATAAAGGCCAAGGTAGAGACAAAGACTGTACGTACTTCTTTTGCACACAAAGGTTAGGCTTCAGTTCATGGATAGCCGAGGCCTCTGCTGTTTTTAGAGGCTGAACACAGAGGAAACATGAAGTGTTAGGGTGAATTAGATAGACAACCTTGAAATCATTGTTTGGGTCGACTGAATGGTTGGAATGGTTGGTGCTCACTCTAAAGTTAATTTGTTGTACTTTCTAGCATGAACTTCTCAAAAATATAAAGTTCACCTATTTTTATACAAAAAGCTATTTCTTCATAGATTATGGTTTTTGAAATGTGTTTCTCTCTATTTAGGTTTCATCAGATGGATGAAACGATGATCTTAGGTCCCATTACTAATTGCTAATAGATAATTTACAACATAATGAATCTTCAGATAGTACCAAAGTACCCATAAGGGAGGTTATATGCCAACAGAAATCGATAAATTCGGTTCATTATAACAACAGGATTTTTATGAATTTTATGACCAGTGTATAGAAACAAATGAACTGATGATAATACGATTACAGTACTGAAATCAGAATACATCAATAGGTTCTTGGCACATATAAATTCAGTAGTGAATGTAAACCAATTTACCTATGACTTAGAAAGTGATGAAAGTGAGATAGCAATGTTCGATTGCATGATGAAACGAACACAAGAAGGAAATCAAGAGACTAGTGTCTATAGGACACCTACGCATTCGAATGGCTACTTTTACTTCAAATCCTCTCACCCTATTTCAGTTAAAGTAGACCTATTTAAATGCTTAAGTGATAGAACGAAAAAGCTTACTAGTAGATTGAAAAATCTGGGACAAGAAATTAGACACATCAAGAATACCCTACATCTCAATAATTACCCATATAGATTTATAAATAAATTCATAAGAAGTCGAAAGAAAAATATTACCAGTGGTAGTGGTAGTGGTAGTAATATAAATGTTATTAATAATAATCCCACTATTAATGGTAATAAATGGCGACAGGGTTAGGAGAGAATTCAAAGCCTCCACTATGTTACCATACAAGGAAGGCACCTCAGAAGCACTACGAAAAATTCTCAATGTGGCTGGTTGGGATTAAAGTGGCATTCAAACCAACAAACTCACTTAGAAACAAGCTTCGTGGGTTAAAAGATCCTATCGGTGCAATTCAGCAAAATAATCTGGTCTACCAGATTCCTTGCAATGATTGTGAGGTCAAGTACATAGGTGAAAGCAGTCAACCAGGATCGATTAGAATAACACAGCACACAAAAACTTAGCTAAATCAAGATGAGTAGATCCCGATAGGATAGGAAATCTAGAGAAAAGCTCAGCTATAGCTCTGCATGCAATGACTCACAATCACACAGTAGAGTGGGATTTGGCGACAGTGTTGATAACTAACTTAGTTTTGTGGAGGGAGGTAGAGATTGATAACCGATGGAATCTTTGTTTATCCAACCAACACCAAACACATGGAGTAATCGAAATGATTCTGCACCTGTCCCAGATATACAGAGCATTCTAGTAGACCTTGTCATCACAGAGAAGGAGATAAAATTAAGAATATATGACTTCTGTCTCTATGTTGTGGAGTTACATGATCTGATATGAATATGGACAATAAATTGTGTCCGAATAGTACGTTATCCAGTAAATGCTACTGCTACACTGTATGATATTTCTAATAAACTGACTAGAATGGAATTATAATCGACCACATTGTCCAAGTTTTACTCGCATATAAATGAACTGATTTATAAGAATATGTTTCATTCATGCATACAATGAATAGGTGGATTGTGGTGGAATATATATATATATATATATATATATATATATATATATATATATATATATATATATATACGTAAATAGGTGTGTGATGAATAATATACTTCTAATTTATACAAAAAATAGGCGTTGTTTTTTTGCTTATGAATTAGTTACCGAGATACAAAGTTTGTTTACTAGAAATTTATAATACACATGACGAAATGTGATATTCGCCCTTATCATCATTAAAACTTTATTTGATCACCTATCCATAAAACATTTAGCTTATATTAGACTCCTAAAATCTGGTAAATCCACTGTCTTGCAGTTTCAAATGGTGTTTTGAACTCTCTAGTGAGTAGACTATATAAAGTTGGTTACCTCATATACCACTCAAAAATAATAATAATAATAATTGTCAGTAGCGCGTCTCTATTACACTCTCTTCTCTCCAGTCTTCTCATTCTGGCTTCACGACTGCTCACAAACTCTCATTTCTTCCACACACCATCTCATCCATGTCACCTTCGGACACCCAACTCGTCGTTTCCCATTTGGATTCCACTCAATCGATTGGTCTGGCGTGTGACGTCCCCAATCTGCCCTCTCAGTGTATGCTCAATCCATCTCCACTTTCTTCCTCTACATATTTATTGAGTGATAGCTTCTTGGTTGGTTCGCCCTCAAAGTTTCTTGTTGCTCATTCTTTCTGGTCTTTTGATCTGATCTTGAGTATCGAGTGAGCGTAGACGGCAGCAGTTGATGAATTTCTGTAGTGTGTTGGAAGTGCTTTTCGTGACCCATCAAGTCTGTCAACCATCACATAGAAGCACTGACTCACTTGACTGAATGCTGAGTACAGTAGATCTGCATATTGGTTTCAGATTATTGAACGCCTGTCTTGCTTTTCCGATCCTGGCTTTGACGTCCTCATCTGTGCCACCTGTGGTTGAAACGATGCTGCCTAATTAGGTGAAAGAGATAACTTCGTTTAGATTTCTCCCATTGATGGTGATTGGAACTTGTTGTTGTCGGTGGTGGTGGTGTTGGTTGGGTATTTTCATCACCTCTGTCTTTTCTCTGTTCATCTGAAGCAAGTCCCGTCTTCACTGTCTCTTCTGTCAACTTGTTGACATTAGCACTTATATGGGAGGTTAATTAATGCCAGAATAGCTCAATAGTAACCTCATTGACTACAACACTGGATGACATAGGTTTGAATCTGAGGTAGATCAGTTCCCCCTAGGTTGCAGATACACCTTAGTAACGAGCACCAAAAGTAGTGATATCTAAGTTCACTGGCTTTCTACCGATTTGTGATGATGAGCTGCTTATTCTGTTGGCCACGTTACAATATGAAGTTCGTTACTTTCCAATGACTAATCAGTATAATAAGCTTTTGCTTCAGAAGAGGTAAACCGTGACAAGTGACCGTGACATCAATTGACAAATCAGAATGTTTCTATGACTAAAACTGTGATTGTCTGTCCTCTTTCAGCTGAACACATGATATGAGCCATTATTATTATTGTTTGTCCCTTGAGTTACTAGTGAAATATTGGGCTTCAGTAGGACGTCTCCAATGCACTCCGTTCTCTGCAATCTATTGAACCTGGCGTCACGACAGCCCAGAGGCTCTCATTTCTTCCTCTCACTATCTCCTCCATATCATTATCGGACGCCTTGATCCCGGAGGACATTGGTTCCCACTATATGAGAGCCTTCGATGCTGTTGGAGACATCATGATAGCCACTCCAAAACTCAGTGTGCTCATGGTTGTCGTCTGGGTGACAAAATTGGAGTAGATTATTGACTCTCCAGTTGTCAGTTTTCTTTCGCAAATTCCTAACACTTCTGTGCTATACCTTCTCATCTCCTTTGCAATCTCGACAGCCTTGGTAGGTTCAAACATCGTGCGGACATTCCATGTCCCCATCCTTACTTTCGGTTTCATCGAGGAAGAGAAGACACATCGGCCAATTTGCCTCCCGAAGGGAAGCCTTCACCAACCAGCGTCATTTTGACTCTCCGATTTTTCTAGTGAGGAATAATTTTGTTTTTATTTTTGATATTTTGTTTATGCTTTGAAGTTTCTTTAGCGGTTGGATTAGTTTTCCAGGGTAGGGTTGCTAGCCGTACGCCCAACCTTTCCTCTTTACCCGGGTTTAGGACTGGCTAGTAAATAGTGAACTAGTTAACCAAGCGAGGTTGGTATGAGCCATACAATACACAAATTCCTGACATTTAGGAGTGTCCTCAAGTTGTCATTATCTTGTTAAATATCTCAGATTTTCTTTTCAATGATGGATTGATTATTTGAGAAAATGATCAGTTAAGATCTCATGTCAAATAGGAATAAGTGAAAACAGGAATGTTCTTAAGTGTTTTCAAAAATAGACAGATATGATAATATTAAAGTGGAATGTCGTACAGAAATGTATCAAGTTTCTAGTCACCATACTTCACAGTAGCAGTACTTTGAAAAGAATAAAAAAGGTGCATAGAAGGAAAAGAAACTTCAAAATCAACATTAATGAAGAAGACGCCAAACAATGATTGAATCTGCAGCACTAAATGATTTGAAACCATATCATTATGAGTCCGTAATCCCTAATTCCTATAGTCTGAAGAATCATATATCCTACAAAGCTCATAGACTGCTGTAATGTCTTGCTCTGGTCATATATAGTAAGCCTTCTACCAAACACTTCCTATTCCGGTTAACATTAAGCATGGAGGGTCAACATGCCTAACAACACATATCCAAGCTACCTCAGTCGATAGAGGTTCACAACGTTATTAACTGATCTGCCTTAGTATACTTCATCTAAACTTCATCAATAACACGGTTGTCTACATATTCTTACAAAGATAATACTAATATTTAGTTTTAATGGAATGTATTCTTCTTCTATAAAGTTTAAAATATTTCTCCTCTTTATAATTAGGAACTTGATAATCGTGTAATGGAATGTGGAGTATTATTGAAATCAAAAAATTATCCATTTCATAGAATAATGAATGAAATCTCATCTAAAAATTATCATAATACTAATTTCTTATCATTTGAAAAAATTAAAATGAATCATAATAGTAAAGTTTGGAATAATAATGATAAAATAAAAACTGAAAAACATTATATCAATAGTTTTAATGAAGGGAATGACTTAAAAGAAGTATTATTTAAAAGGTAAGATGAATTGTTGTAGTGCATTGTCTACTGAATTTACTATCTACTAAAATGTTGTCATTAGTAGACTGTTTTAACTATTATATTATTTATTCCTTGGGCTCCTAATAGAATATGGGACTTCAATAGCACATCATCATTTCATTCTCTTCTCTCCACTACTCTCTACCTCACTATACAACTCTCAATAAGCTTTCATTTCTTACTAACACAATCTACTCCATTTCACCCTCACCTCACACTCCCAACATGTCATTTCACATTCGTGTTCCACACAATAACATGGCCTGACTCGACCTCACCTGACACCTCATGTCCCGAAACCTTCTTCTCAGTCTATATCCAATACAATACAATACAATCCAGTCAAGTCCATCTCTAATTTATTCCTCTCCATATTTGTTGAGCGATAGGTTCTTCGCTGGTTGGTTGGTTCGTTGATAGCTAGAGTGAGTTTCACGTTGCTTATTCTTATTATTCTCGCCATCTGATCACATCTGATCTTCAGTATGGAGTGAGCGTAGACGTATGTCTGTAGTTTGTTGTAAATGCTTTCCGTAATGCTTCAAGTCTGTCAACCATCATCACATGGAAGCCCTGAGTGACTTGACTGAATTAGTATAGCGAATTCGGATGTTGTTCATGCTTTATGCTGAGTGAAGTTAGATGCAGTAGATCTGCACACTGATTATTTCAGATTGATGTAGGGAGGCGTGTCTTGCTATCTTACTGATCTTGACTGCTTTGACATCTCCATGTGTGCGTGTGAGGCATGTAGTTGAGAGGATGCTGCCTTGGTAGGTAGCTGAGAGAGACAACTTGGTCTAGATTTCATCTATTGATGTTGACTGGTACTTGTTGTTGTTGTTTGTTGAGTATCCTCATTACCTATAGTAGACTGTAACTAGAACTATTGACGTCATTCTCTTAAGTTGCATATACTGTAAACATTACTTCAAATGGTTCCCAATATTTCATGCAATAAGAAGAAGTTCACATCGGTAGAACTTTTCAAAAGCTTCTTGTTCATTCATCTGACATATCAACTGATCATTTATTGTCCATGAAAGCGGATCTCTGGACCGATGCTCTATCAACTGAGCATCTTTATTGGTATTCAGTTCACAAAAGGAATAGAAGGAAATAATGAAATTTCATTAATAGATGTACTTATGAAATGAACACACGATTGAATCTAACATATTCATGTGTATAAGGAATCGACACACTCAAACGAAGTTTTGAATTACATCAGTAATGGCTGAATATAACAAGAGTTGCGTAGAAGTATGGTTCTTATGCGTCAAGATTCATTGCAGCACTCAACAACTGAGAAAGTCAGAAGAAAATCATCTTTATAAAGCGTTCAGAATCAATCAGCTTCATCAATGAATACCTATTAACAGAAAATATATCACAGTAATGACTTCAACATACATAAAAGTCTTCTCAGAAACTGTTGACCTATTATATAATCCTTTCGGCATCAGAATTGAACACAAATCAAACAAAAAACCGAACGATGAGTAACACATATAGACAGGACGAATATACTCTACAAAATTAGTTGCAAGGACTGTCGATATAACCATATTGACCCATCTAGTCGTTAAATAGCCTAAAAAAGTTATGACCATCAACTAATAGTCAAACAAAAGGATGTATTATCATTGATATTGATGTACATAGATGAGCATAAGCACAACTGTAGTTGAACAATATGAAAATATGACAAATTGCACACTCTGGTAGTTTGCTATATGAATTAAACTGTAAGCCTTTGAGATAGGAAAGATGACTACTAAGAAGAGATTAGTTAGCTGAAAATCAAGTCAGTGAATCAATAATCATCCATTAGACTAACAACAACTATAAACATCAAAGTGTAGTAAATAAGAAGAGTAGTTTACCTCTCCTTACAAGGAAATAATGCTCAAAGTCTGTAAAATTTCTTTCATGAACATTCATATAACTTGATTATGTTTAACTTCTTTATGAAGTAAAAAATACTGATGAAGTTAACTAGTCTGATGATGATGTAAAGTTGAAGAACAAACTTCAACGCATAAAGAACATCAAACAATTATCGATATCCAAACTAATTACAGAAACAGTGATGCAGAGACTGTAAGCCATAATTCTATCTGGGATTAGACCAAATATTTGGATTCACGATATAGACGATACGTTTGTCATCATTAAAAAAAAAGATGATATAGAAAACACTCACAGTTTGATCAACAACGTTTTCAATGACATCAAATTCACAATAGACAAGGAGTCGAACAACCAATTACCATTCCTAGATGTAATGATCAGAAGGACAAATGCGGGAAAGTTGGAAATCCAAGTGTACTGGAAGCCAACACATAGTGATCAAATCCTCAACTACAGTAGCAACAACCCAATAACACACAAAAGTAAGTACAGACTCTATTCAAAAGAGTTAGAACACAATGCTCAGTACACCAACTTCACGGAGAAACAAAGAAAATTACTTGATATCCATCCTAAAGAAGAACGGCCACTTAAGAAACTTTATCACAAGATGCCTATCCCGTATATCATTAACTACAACGTTATTTGCGAAAAATCAACAAACGCATCATCCTACCGCACATAAAGAATATATCAGAAATCACAACAAGATTACTGAGACCACTTGGAATTGGTGTGGCACAATGTCATGCAACAACCAAAGAAGACATACCGAACATCATTCACAAATTCAACTGGAATAACTGTAGTCAACACTATATTGAACAAAGTGGTCGCCCTCTTTACATTCGTCTACATTAACACCGATTGGCTATTCAACATAACGACATCTCATCGCTGCTCATTTCAATCCACGTGGATAACAACTATACACACGAATTGAATTTTGACAATGTAGGGGTGTTGGAGGGAGAGAGGAACACAAAGAATATCATCAGAGAATTTCTAGAAGCTTGGCATACACATCAGTCAGTCAGCAATCAACAGATGTATAGACATAGACCCAATCTATCAACCAATGAGCAAAATGATGACCGACAGAAAGGTTGGAGGTGAAGCAGAGGAACAGCCAACATAAAAATCAAGAAGAACAACCAATCACACACAAACTAGTTGGTCAAGGCAAGCTAGTGAATCACTCACGTAGAGATATTGACAGCTCGCTTCGTACTGAAGTTAGTGCTGATGATGTCGTCTAGGAGAAAGACGATGAAAGCTTCACGATTAAACAACCCACCTCACAGAAGACAATACAACCAAGACCATCTACCTGAACTACAAATATTCTCCACCATTTCAAAATTACCGATTTTAAAGTCATTGAACATTGAACAACCAGATAAATAAGTTTGATGTATCGTATATTATTTGTTTGAAGTAAAATAAACCATTCAGTCATATTTAGAATATATGTAACACTGGGGAAAAATTGACTGTGTGTTGCTATGCCAAATTCTGTGGTGTTTGGTATAACTAAAGGTTATTTATTTCGAAAAGTTCATTTACCTTACTGCCTGTTTGATTGGGAATCGAATTTTCAAAGTTAAGTTTTCATTGTTCACTTATATTTAACTAATGCATAAATTTGTCTATACTTTCGTCAAGGTCATTTGATGATGGTGATTATCCGAATTCAACGAATCAAGAAGTTGAAATAACTTCTCCAAATCAATCAAATCATATGAAAGGATTTTATTTCTCATCTGAGCAGACTGTAGAAACTTTGAAGTCGGATACAGTGAGAACATTTTCACCAGTTAATGATAATGCTAACGAGATAACTGGTAAATCTAATCTATCATCAAATGAATTAGATTTACAGAAAAATAAGGAAGAATTGAATAGTAAGTTTATTACCATGAATAACCCGTTTATATCCAACGTATCGTTTACTAATTATTATTATTATTATTATTATTATTATTATTATTATTATTATTATACGTTGAAAATTTCATCCATCCGTACGCAGGAATCGAATGAAAACTGCAGTTTCAGGAGAATAACATATTATTAATTGTCCTTTGAGTTCCTAATGGAACATATAGTTTCATCAGTACGTCACCATTTCACTCTCTTCTCTCCACTACTCTCTACCTCACTACATAACTCCCAATAAGCTTTCATTTCTTACTAACACAATCTACTCCATTTCACCCTCACCTCACACGCCGAACATGTCATTTCACATTCGTGTTCCACACAATAACATGGCCTGACTCGACCTCACCTGATACCTCATGTCCCGAAACCTTCTTCTCAGTCTATGTCCAATACAATACAATACAATCCAGTCAAGTCCATCTCTAATTTATCCCTGTCCATATTTATTAGATGATAGGTTCTTCACTGGTTGGTTGGTCGGTTGTTTTGTTGTTGGGTTCGTTGAGAACCGGAGTGAGTTTCTCGTTGCTTATTCTCACTATTCTCGCCATCTGATCTGACCTGCTCTGATCTGATCACATCTGATCTTCAGTATGGAGTGAGCGTAGACGGCAGCTGTTGTGATGTGATGTGATGTGGTATGTCTGTAGTTTGTTGGAAATGCTTTCCGTAATGCTTCAAGTCTGTCAACCATCATCATATGGAAGCCCTGAGTGACTTGACTGAATTAGTATAGCGAGTCTGGATGTTGTTCATTCTTTATGCTGAGTGAAGTTAGGTGCAGTAGATCTGCACACTGATTATTTCAGATTGATGTAGGGATGCGTGTCTTGCTATCTTACTGATCTTGACTGCTTTGACATCCTCATGTGTACGTGTGTGGCTTGTGGTTAAGTCGATGCTGTCTGGGTAGGTAGGTAGGTATGTAGCTAGGTAGGCGGGTAAGTAGGTGAGAGAGACAACTTGGTTAATATTGATTTGTGCTTGTTGTCGTTGTTGTTGGGTATCTTCATCACCTTTGTTTTCTTTACGTTCACCTGAAGGAAGTACCGTCTTCGCTATCTTGCCTCGCCTCTTCTGCCAACTTTTTGTTCTCGCCTGTCAATCTCCAAGTTTGTGCGACAAGTCATTAGACATAAAGCATCACCGGTAAATTTCAAATCGTGTAGAGTCTCGTCATCGATCAAACGGCGAATGCTTATCTTCTCTCTCTCCTCACAGTTTGTTGCATGACTCAGTCAACCAGAGGAAGATCATCGGTGATAGTAGGCGGCAACCTTTTCTTATTCCTATCTTCACTTGGGAGGTATCACTTAGCTTTGCATTGTTAATCACTTAACATGTAGCATCATATAGCATACAGATTTCGAATAGTTTGTATAAAGGTTTGTGGCACTGAAACCGTAGTGTTCAAGCACACTAATTATTCATAAATATTCATATTGTATCATTGAGAAACTATTTGTTCATCTATAATAATTCACTTGGTTGTAGCTAACAGAAGAATCTAGCTTGATGCACGTTCCATCCTATTTGGAACTCGTCAGCTGGATGCATGTTCACCCCAGTATGAGTTCCTACTGACAGCCTATATGCCAATAACGAATGAACTATTCGATACAATAAAACAACAGAGAATTACAAGGCATATCAAGTAATAATTTCATATTGATTACCACACCGTGTTATTATTATAAATATACATTGAGTAAAATAAACAAAACTTTGGATCACCTCTGTATTCAAATAAAAGATAGACTTGTTACATTGAAAATAATAATCCTTGAGTATTAAACATGTATAATCAGGCTAAGACAACTAAATGATAGGGATAAAGGCAATCACCTGAAATTTTAAAAATTCAATATCAGAATTAGGATACAGGCATTTCGTTGATTTTTTCCTCAACTGTTGTACAACCAACAGATTATATAACATCAAACAAAGATATACAATATACTTTTATAAATTGATAAGAAAAATGATTACTCAGAAAAAAATTTTAACACAACAATAAAATAAATAAGTTCAGGCAATTTGTATAGAAGCACAAGACATAACTCTCTTTCTATAATCCTAATGACCTAGTAGAAAGTGACTTAACATTTCAAATGATAGTTTGAGATGTGAATGTATTCAGTTGATGAGTTCAAGATAAGAAGAAACGCGGATTTTGGATCTCACTGCTAGTTACCAAGATGAATATAATTATGTTCTTTTTTAAACAAGAGAAAATAAATACAACCCTTTAAGAATACTTCTTTCATTTATCAGTTTTATATCCATTGCTTTTTTTCAACAAATATAACTGGTTACAAGAAAATTAGTTCTTCATCTTGGGTTCTACATTAATATGCGTAGTTTTATAATTTAATCAAATTACCAGTCATGTAGTGGTGTTGTTTCAGAAATAAATGGAATGACTTTAATGAGTATTCAGTCATTCACAATAAGCGATCACGTAAAGATAAGAAGCTGAATGAGTATTGATAGAAACAAGGGTAAGGGGAAGGGTAAGGGGAATGGGAAGATGTGTACAAAGTGAACCTAGAAGTTACATCATATTGACAGTCAAGGTAATGAAAGTGGTTGAACAAACTTTTTTTAAATACAAAGGTTAGGAAAGTTTGTAAAAGTGGATTGCAATCACCTCTACTATGTGAAGTAACTGAGTGCGTAATCCATGTGGTAAACTAATTGGAATCTGATGGATGATTTTGAAAGCTTTTCTAGTAACAACTTGATGTCCTTTATCAATTAATTGTGCAAGTATGGAACTCTTTATAGTTCTAATGGTGCTCAAAAATTTGATGATAGAACTGTCTCATTGTACTTCTAGAGGAGTAGTTAAATTGATAAATGCACATAGTAGTGGCCGGATCAGTCAGTTTGTCTTTATTTCTTGCACCTAGAACCGGGCCGTTTTAGAAGGTGGCACATAATTTAGCGACTGAGAATGCCTGATGCAAGATTATTTTTATGCGTTGTGTGATGATCTCACTGACAATATCACTCTTAAATTCCAGCTTGAAGATTTACTTCTTAGAACTGTTGACATTGTTGTCTTAATCCTCGTAATATTCATGTGCTTAGTTACAAACTTGTCTGGGTAATCATTTCTACTAAGCAGATCACGGATGGCGGCGCATTCTTCCTTTATAGCATCCACTGAGCAAATAGCTGAGTCACGGTATGCTAAGCATTTCACTAGGTTCCTTTTGGGGGTTTACAGCACTAAAGAAGTGCGTATTCTGACCTGTTGATGTTGGCTTTTTATCAACACTTACCTTTGTGTCCAAAAGAAGTTTGTTCAACCACTTTCATTACCTTGACTGTAAACATGATGTAATTTCTAGGTTCACTTTGTACACATCTTCCCATTCCCCTTACCCTTCCCCTTCCCCTTGTTTCTATCAATATTCATTTAGCTTCTTATTATTACGTGATCGCTTACTGTGGATGACTGAACACTCATTAGAGTCATTCCATTTATTTCTGAAACAACACCACTAAATGATTGGTAATTTGATTAAATTATAAAACTATGCATATTAGTTTAGAGCCCAAGAAGAAGACCTAATTGAAAAGTAGTATACATTTCTTCACTGGTTCAATCAGTCTTGCTTCTAAATGTCTAATGGAAATATTTAATGTACAAGAAAATTATTTCAAAGTTTTAGACATCGATGGCTCCTTCTTTTTTACTTTCCTTATAAAACAATCAAAATTTCGCGCAATAAAATGTGATACTTCGCTTATAAATACCAAGCAACTCACAGTTTATCAAACGAATTTCTCACTAAATCTATCTACAATTAAAAACTTCTCCCCTTTTTATATGATCTACGATCTCACTTACTTGTATGTGGCAAAGTATATTCACTCGACGAGCATATAGAAAAGTTTATGACCACATGTTTTAGCCTATTCTAAGAAGTTGACTTCAAAATACGATTGGAACAGGCTGGCTGGATTCAGGAAGTACAAATCATGTGCAGACCAAACTGTAACGTTACACATCATCATAGAAAAGAGCATAGAATGGCAGTAAACTCTCTACCTCATCTTCATCGACTATGAAAAGGCCTTCGACAGCGTCGATCGGAATACCACAAACCTTTATCAACCTCATTCAACAATTATATGAATACACCATATGCCAAGTGATCCACAATGGAAAGTTCAGTGATGCTGTTGAAGGTAAATGAAGACAGGAAGGAGTAAGACAAGGCTGTCTACTATCACCAATGATATTCCTGATTGTGGTTGATTGAATCATGCGGCAAACAGTGAAGAGCGAGAAGACGGGGATACACTGTTTGACCGATAAAAGATCCTAGAAGATTTGGATTTCGGCGATCACTTGTGTTGTCGCACAAACTTGAAGATCTACAGGCGAAAACTAACTTTAAGTGAACGTAGAGAAGACAGAGGTGATAATGATATGCAACCAACGCAGCTATCAACAACAACAAGCTCCAATCACCATTACCGGGAGGAACTTAAAGGAAGTAGCCTCTTTCACCTACCTAGCTGGGCAGCATCGTTTCAACTACAGGTGGCACAGGCACAGACGAGGATGTCGAAATAGCCAGAATCGGAAAGACAGCAAGACAGGCGTTCATTAGCCTGAAACCAGTGTGGAAATCTTCTGTACTCAGCATAAAGTGTGAACAACATCCGGATTTTCAACAACAACGTCACTTCAGTGCTCCTGTATGGCTCAGAGACTTGACGCGTCATGAAAAACGTTTCCAACAAACTACAGATATTCATCAACAAGTGCCTACGCTGACTCGTTACTGAAGCTCAGATGGACAAAATAATGAGAATCAGCAACAAGGAACTCACTTTGGCTGGTGACGAACCAACCAAGGAAGCAAGAACCTATCACCCAACAAATATGCAAAAGGAAGTGGCGATGGATTGGGCATGGACTCATAAGACCATTCGGGGACATCATGGGCCAAGCCAGTTGGTTTAGTGGAGCCTATATGGGAAATGGCGAGTTGGGCGTCCGAGGCAAGGGTGACATGGAGGAGATGATGTGAGGAAGAAATGGGAGCTTGGGGGCAGTCGTGGAACCAGGTTGAAAAGACTGAAGAGAAGAGAGTGGAATAGAGACGTGTTACTGAAGCCCTATGTTCCACTAGGAACCCAAGGGACAAATAATAATAAGATGAAGAAGTTGACTTAAGATATAAACTTGACATCAAGATGTCATTTAAAGTATTTAACAAACAATTATGAACTTGAATTTCTTACTTCTCAATGAAACAGTAGGTAGTGAACGACTGAAAATCAATTTACATCTACCAAACGAAACAGTTGTCAGTCTATCTCCATTCTGGTTTACTTTATTTTTTATTTTATTTGTTGGTAATCATAATGATCCTTATGCGTTATTACTGATTCAGAGAGCTTAACTACTATTCCATTTCACACTTAAGATCTTATTTCCTTATCTAGCGTATATCCGGAAATCATTCAAATGAATTTTCTTATGTAACTTCTTTAGGCGTATCGAAAATATACATGTCTCCATTAACTATTTCCTTCAACTTACGCCCTAAAATATTTGTTGCATTTCCGTATGTGTATATAAAAGACAAACTGATAATCTGTTAGTTGAATGGAGACAATCGACAGGAATCCCTGCTAGATCTAGGTTTCTTGCTTGTTGGCACTCGTCAGCAATGCGTATTTGCAACCCCGACGGAGATGATGTCTCGCCACTTAGTGTTGTAGTCAGCGACCTTACCACTGAACCATTCCGGACGCAACAGACTTATTGTAGGACTGGATTGGATATATACAAGCAAAAAACAATGTCAAGCGGGGTTCCCTCCTGACTGCTCTCAACCAGTTAACACTTATCAGACACTAAAACTCCCGAAGGTTGAAAGCAGCTGACTAAGAAGGCCAAAACACAGTGGATCTATCCTATTCGCACAAACTCGCAGGTATACAGGCGAAAAACAACAAGTTGGCGAAAGAAGCGGGGCGAGACAGCGAAGACGGGACTGAACGAAAAGAAGACAGAGGTGATGAAGATACCCAATAAACGAAAAGCACCAATCAACATCAATGGAAGAAATCTAGACCAAGTTCACTCTCTCACCTACCTATCTACCTACATACCTAGGAAGCATCGTCTCAACTACATGCCTCACATGCACACATGGAGATGTCAAAGCAGTCAAGATCATAAGATAGCAAGACACGCCTCTTCACATCAATCTGAAATAATCAGTGTGCAGATCTACTGCACCTAACTTCACTCAGCATAAAGCGTGAACAACATCGGATTCGCTATACTCATTCAGTCAAGTCACTCAGTGCTTCCATATGATGATGGTTGACAGACTTGAAGCATTACGGAAATCATTTCCAACAAACTACAGACATACCACATCACATCACATCAACAGCTGCCGTCTACGCTCACTCCATACTGAAGATCAGATGTGATCAGATCAGAGCAGATCAGATCAGATGGCGAGAATAGTAAGAATAAGCAACGAGAAACTCACTCTAGCTATCAACGAACCCAACAACAAAACAACCGACCAACCAACCAGTGAAGAACCTATCATCTAATAAATATGGACAGGGATAATTAGAGATGGACTTGACTGGATTGTCTTGTATTGTATTGGATATAGACTGAGAAGAAGGTTTCGGGACATGAGGTATCAGGTGAGGTCGAGTCAGGCCATGTTATTGTGTGGAACACGAATGTGAAATGACATGTTGGGAGTGTGAGGTGAGGGTGAAATGGAGTAGATTGTGTTAGTAAGAAATGAAAGCTTATTAGGAGTTGTGTAGTGAGTTAGAGAGTAGTGGAGAGAAGAGAGTGAAATGGTGACGTACTGATGAAACTATATGTTCCACTGGGTACCCAGGTGAGAAATCAATGATTAATTGAGGTCTAATTCAACTTTGTGGTAGCATAAAGAACATTTGTATGGTTTATATGTAGGAATGATGTCGTTTCGCAGTATGGAAGTTATCAATGAAGAAATTTATGTCTCCAAAGAAATTTAGTTTCTTACTTATACTCTAAATGTGGATTGCATTATGCAAATGATGGTGAAATAAATAATAATAGACGTTAATCAGTATTGATCAGTATTGATCAGTATTGATCTAGTACATCGGGAGTTAGAATATATTCGTAATTCATTGAATGAAATAGGCTGCTTTATTAGTCTCATCAGAAGACACACGGAGAAATCTAGGGGAAATAAAAGTGGAATTATTACCAAACAAAAGAGACCTTTGTTTATGAAATTGCAATTTAATGGGAATGTAGCTGGAGAACTTCTATATCAGAAACTCTCAACAGCCATTAACAGGACCTTCTACACAGTGCAACTTTGTCTATCATTTTTCAGTCAACCAATTGTTGCTTCTTAGACGAAAGGTAAGGTATCCACTTCCACCATTTCCATGTGTACTTACAAGTGTAGCTGCTCCTGTGGAGAAAGTTGCATACAGCGTACTACTAGACAATCTAGGATACGTGTTGATGAGCATCTACCTTCATTGTTGGTAAAGGGACAGATCAAATCCCTAAGAAGTTCAGTTTTATCTCACCTCGTTAATGTTGGTCACTTGATAGATAAGAACAATGCTTTTATGATCATTCACCACATACCATCTCATCTTTTGAAAGGTATTCGAACTCATCTCTTACACCACATAACAGAAGCTATGGGAATTAGAGCTAATAATCCTAGTCTTTGTATCCATAATAAATGTGTACATCCCTTATCTCTCCCTTCGCCGGAGAATTACTTACTTACCTTACCTACTTATTCTTCACCCCTTTCATATTACTTACCGTATTTGGATAATGTAATTAGGAGACGTAGATTATCTGAAAAATATGACGTATTAGCGCTATAAATTTCGATGAATGTGATCCTCAACACATTTACCTGTCAAGTCAATTTATCTATGAAAACTGGAAGTGGGGGAAGGACAAATATCACATAAAGGAATTCAATAATAAGAAAGATGATAATAGGAAAAAAAGATACGATTTGAAGACAATCTTGGTAATACGATAAAATAAGCATTACAAAAAGGTAGGCTTAATGTGAGGACAAATTGTTTTTAGACCCCCTCAATGGGAAGTTAAATTTATTTATGGCTAGCGCTTCAACAAACTCAAGTATACGCCCCTGACAGTTTCTATACAAAACTGTAAAGGCTGTTTTAATATGAATCCTGTGACTCTCATCAATGATATGTTTTGCAATAGATGCAGATGATGGTTGTCTGACATCTGCGCTTATCAATGTTTGTGAATCCAGCTGCTTTAATAGCCATTTTAGAACATGTTCCCTTACCCTCAAATGCATATCATGGTTCGTCCTACCTATGTATGTTTGTCCACACACATCCATGTAAATTTATAAACGCAGTGGGATGTGATGCAATCGTTTATACAACGTTGAGGTATAGGTTGCAACAATTGTTTCATCATCTCAACTACAATAAGCTTAGCTGTATAGTACGTTTTGCTAACAGGAGATCCTAACCTTCGTTTTAATATTATGCTGTTAGATTCTCCTCTGTATGATAACGTTGATGTAAACGTATTTCTTCGAAACAGAGTAAAGATTAGGTTTGAATCCTTGTTGATTTTTGCAGCGGTTTATGAACTTCAATGGAGATCCATTTTTCACTAATGTCTCCAATACTATTTTGATATCATCATCCATTGAATCTTCCGTACAAATAAGCTGGATCCTTTTAAATAGGCAAGTTACCAAACCTCACTTGTATTTGGTTGGACGAAAGTTATGGAAACTTAAATACTGGCCTGTCCAAGTAGGTTTTCTGTAGATCGATCGTTTTATTTAACCATCATTTGTACGACTTAGAAGTAAATCCAAGAATGGCAGACAGTTTTCTTTCTCTTCTTCACATGTCAGGCTTATGTTATTTTGTACGATGTTAAGTCTTTCTAACAAACATGTCACATCTTCATGTTTGTCACATATCACGATTATATCATCAATATATGTTTTATAGAGCGTAACTTTTATGATGAGATCATCGGTCAAGCCCTCAATGTGTAACATGTAAATATCAGCTGGCAATGGTCCTAAGGGACTTCCTATGGCCAAACCATCCATTTGTCGAAAATAACCATTATATCTCAGTGACCTAATACATAATGCTTTAGCGTCTAATATGATGGTTGCGCAGTCCGAGTGTCAGTGGGAATACCATCAACCAAATAGGTGTAATTATATGCAGCTGAAAAGTCCTAAATGGGACAAAACGCTCATAAGAAAAAGGAATTTATTTACCAGAATAATATAATATTGATAACAACACAAATATCTAAACTTGTAGTTTTATTTTTTACAAAAAGATATCTGATTTAATTGAAAAAAAAGTAAATTCAATTGAAATATTAATTTCGCGCCTAAAATGATCATTTAAATTTTTAGTCATTTTAAACAAATTCATGAATTCAATGAATAAATTATTTCTTAACAATTTTCTTTCGTTTTTTGATTTATTTACAAGTAGATGTTGATTACTCTGAAAATTATAAAGATGGTGTATATCTCCAAGAAGTGAAAGATATGAAGTCGCAGAGTAAACTATCAACTCCATTATTTCCTAATATTGATGTATACATTACAGCAAATAATTATAAACAATTTTTAAATTTTAATTATCATACTACTACTACTACTACTACTAATGATGATGATGATGGTGACGATGATAACATTTTAAAAAATGATACCCAGGATAATAGTCAAATGAATATTATTCAATAAACAGTAAATATATTTAAGTATCATTATTATTTATTTTTCCCTTAGGTTCCTAGTGGAATATAGGCCTTAAATATGGCGTCAGGACTGTGCACAAGCTTTCATTTCTTTCTCACATGATCTCATCCATGTTACACTCGCCTCAGACGCTTAACTCTTCATTTCCCTTTTGGATTCTACTCAAGCAACTGGCCTAGTGTGGGATGTCTCCAGTCAGCCTTCTTAGTGTATGCTTAATCAATCTTCATTTTCCTCTTCTGCATATTTTTTGAGTGATAGCTTCTTGGTTGGTTCGTTCCCAGAGTTCTTTGTTGCTTATTGTTTCTGGTCATCTGATCTTCAGCATCGAGTGAGCGTAGGCGGCAACTGTTGATGAATGTCTGTACTTTGTTGGGAATGCTGTTCGTGACACGCCAAGTTTCTGAACCATCACATAGAAGCACTGACTTGACTGAATTGTTGTTGAAAATCCGGATCTTGTTCACGCTTTATGCTGAGTGCAGTAGATCGATATACATTCTAGATTTTACTCATCTACTAAGATGAATTACTAACAAGTTTTACACTCAATTTCATTCCAAAATTGACTGATATTATGACAGCTTTTCAACTTCTTTCTAATACTTCTCAACCTTGTGGAAATGGCTTCTTTAGAGAATCAAACCTGTACAATATAAAGTTGAACTGTTTGACCAATGTTAGCAGATGGGCTCCTATGTGAATGCCACAATACTGTCAGATATTCACAATGTTATATTGATCTTGGTGAGTACTAGCAGTATAATCCACTCATCAGCTGGATGCACCTGCATCCTAGGAGCGCAAGAACCAACAGAGGTCAAGCAAGTCCACTGTATATAGGCAACTGGGAATTGCAGGTATCAAGCAAAAATAATAATTTATACCAGTTATGCCACAGGTGGCTGTTGTGTGTCAGCGGCCTGATAGACAACACTTTGCCGGTTGAAGCAATAGTTAATCGGTTCTAGCCTCAGTGGGAACATTCTTCCTCAAACAGAACGATACACGAATCGCGGATTCCACTGTTGGTTACCTAGATGAACGGATAACCTATGCAAGGTTAAACAATAATTTAAGTCAAATCAGACCACGTTATTCATACATGATGATAATGTGAGTATAAATGTCATCATTGTAAATTATAATTCAGTGAGTTCGAGGTGAAGATATGAATTTATGTTAACACATTAATCGAAAAATGCTCAACAACCTTGTACACATTCATTCAGTAGATTATGAGCCACACCTAATATCTGTAAGGGCTAGTGATACTACTTGGTTACCTGAGTCTCGGTAGGTGGAGAAGGAATTCTAAACCGGATACTTCGATATCTTCTTCACACATATAAGAAATAACAAAGAATGGGATGCAGGAAAGAATGTTTATTATTGACATCTTGTACAGTACCGATGAAGTATTGTACACATTCTATTATGATAATCATTTGCATAGCGTGCTTCATTTCCTCTTCTTCTCCCATCTTGATTTGCTCTTAATACGCTCACACTGTCTCTTGCATTCCCCTGAGAAGAATATTTACCCATCGCTGGTAATTTCCTATGATTTCTGCCGGCCTCTCAACATATACTACTTACATCTATTCTTATTAGTAGTATCCACTACGCTATGAGTGAATGATAATGCGTGTTATAAAAGTAATATGGATGAAAAATTCAGCTTGTTTGTTCGTTTCATTACGATTATATTTTTAAATATGCAATAATTTGTATAGATTTTATTCTCTGAAGAAACCAATTTACACGAGGTCGCTGAAATCTTACAGATATATTTTCTTTGTAATCCATTTACCCAATACTCTACTTATACAACTTTATCAGGTCAAAATTTGATAGCGAAATCTTCAAAATACTTCCATATTATTAAGAGATAACACGTAAATATTCTGTTTTCATAATTAGTAATTTTTTTTATCACCAACCTAGTGACTATATGTAGATGCTTGGAGTAGGATAAACTAATAGAAAAGATAACTAGTGTTCCTCAGCTTTCACCAGCATGCATAACATTATTGTAATCATTAAAAAAACTTCAGTTTTTGTCAGTTTATTCAAGTAGTGGCTAGATTCAGGAAGAGCGAACCATATGCCGATCAAATTTCAAAGCTACGCGTCATCATAAAACAAAGTATCAAATGACAGTCAATTCTTTACCTCAACTTCATCGATCTTGAAAAGGATTTCAACAAAGTCGACTGACAAGTGATTTGGCGACTACTTTAATACTACGGAACACCGCAAATCTTTATCAACCTCATTCACAAGCTATATGAAAACGCCATATGCCAAGTGATCCACAATGCAAAGCTCAGTGATGCTGTTGAAGGTAAATGAAGACAGGAAGGAGTAAGACAAGGCTGTCTACTATCACCGATGTTGTTCCTGATTGTGGTCGATTAGATCATGCAGCAAACCGTGAGGAGCGATAAGACGGGCATACATTGTTTAATCAATAAATAGATCCTACAAGATTTAGATTTCCCCGATGACTTGTCTCTGGTGTCGCACGAACTCGAAGATCTACAGGCGAAAACTAACATGTTGACAGAAGAGGCAAGGCAGCGGAAACGGGATTTCAATTGAATATAGAGAAGATGGGGGCGATGAAGATACTCAACCAACAACAGCATCAACAGCAAGCACCAATCACCACTAACGGGAGAAACTAAGAGGAAGTTGCCTCTTTCATCTACCTACCAGACTAGGCAGCATCGTTTCAACTACAAGTGGCACAGACACAGACGAGAACGAGAATATCAAAGGAGCTAGGATCGGAAAAGATGGCAAGACAGACCTTCCTGCATCAATCTGAAATCAGTGTGGAGATCTAATGCACTGCACTCAGCATAAAGCGTGAACAACATCCAGAAGTCAGTGCTTCTATATGATGGTTCAAAAAGCTTGCATGCCACGAAAAGCACTTCCAACAAACTACAAAGATACATCACATGAACAGCTGCCGTTTACGCTCACTCAATACTGAAGATCAGATCAGATGGCCAGAATAGTGAAAATAAACAACAAGGAAATCACCATGGCTGGCGACGAACTAACGAAGCAAGAAGTTGACCCAACAAATATGCAGAAGAGGTAGATTAGACATACATTGAGAATGCTGATTGGGGTCATCACGCGCCAGGCCAGTCGCTTGAGTAGAATCCAACGGGAAACGACGAATTGGGCGTGTGAGGCGAGGGTGATATGTAGGAGCTGGTATGAGGAAGAAATGAAGGCTTGTAAGCAGTGGTGGAGCCAGGTTGAGAAAACTGGAGAGAACAGAGTGAAATGAAGAGGTTCTACTGAAGCCCTATGTTCCACTAGGAACCCAACGGAATAATAATAATGATAACAATAATGGAATGAGGTTGATAATGATAATTTATAATCCATCAGTAGGTTAGATATAATCGTTTCACTGATATAGTTTATAACGGAACCTGTAACCACTCGAAATTTTTCGCTCAACCGAAATACTTTGAAAATATACTATTCAAAATTTATTAACCAAATGAAATTACAGCCTGTATCTACCAGATTTGTCTACCTTTTTTTTCAATTAACTTTAATCCTCCAGGAGTGGGATCAGTTGAAGAATTATAAACGATTTAGGAGTATTGGACAACACTGTTTCGTTTCTAGTATGGGATTCCTCAGCAGTACGCATCAACAATCCTACCTATCAGGGATGAAACCTTCAACATTCAGGTGTTTTGAAGAATATGATAGCCATTTAGCCAGTTTGTTAGAGTTCAGAATTTCGCATTGTCCCACGCGTATCAGTTCACAATGTAGCATGACTATCCACCACAGTCTTCGGTTGGTATTCTTATTTTATTTCTGATTAGTTAACCCCACAGGTCAAGGCTTCTCATCAAAACTTCGGGATATCTCTCTTCAAGTATATCACTAACCAGTATGTAGCAATCGTAATCACTCAACCGTTAAAATGGTTCCAAATTGTTTACAAGATGTTGAAATCTACTAAAGTCAAGTTCTATCTTGATCTGAACTGGTAGTAAAAATAATTCGAAGTACATTACCGTATTTAGATATACTTATACTATAAAGAATATGGCATATAGTTAGTTGCATCGAGTGATAAATACACTTTTAAGTCTCCTTTGACTTGTTGTACAACTAATCGTCGAGTTGTATGCATCGTCCACTCAGTGTGTGTTGACTACTTTCTAGAATGTCGACAGAGGCATTAGTTAATTCATTCACATGTCTGTTATATCACGTAATTAACTTAAAAGAAGTATTGATCTACTTGTAATTCTCCGTTGTTCTACTAGATCGAATTATTCTACCTATGTTGGTTTATGGGCTCGTATGCGGATGCCTTGATATTGCCTAGATGATAATTTGGTTGGCTGTGGCTATCAAAAGTATATCAATAAATAGTATTAACTATTACCCGTTGTACAAGAAGTGGCTATAGTGCCTCTGTGGCATAGTTGATAACCCCTCAGTGTTCGAAGCGATGGCTACCAGGTTCGAGTCTCAATGAGAACAACATCACTTGCCACTGAGGTCCAGCTACATCCAGCTGATGAGTGAATCCCAAATGAGAAGAAACGCACATTCTAGATTCTTCTGCTAACCACAACCAACCAAATTATCAAATGATGAATAAGTGCAGAGAGCACTACATAATGAATCCATAGATTTCGGTGGTACTCATCAGACTGATACTCAACATACTTGATTAGATATATACCATTAAGTAGCGCTAAAGAACACAGTTACATAATTTAGACTCAGACATCAATTTAAGTGTGATGACATAGAAATGAACAATGATGGAAAAGATTAATAGCTGAGGATGACGATGATGAAGTATGGTTTGGTGTTCCCTTAGCTATCATATTTTCTCGAAAACGTTTCATCAACATGCTTGGTGACAGTTTCAGCGCTGACGTTATAAAGGAGTTGGAAATTAGCAACATTTATAGGTCAAGTGGATGTTCAGATTAAAGATAAGTTACA